GGGACACCCCAGCCCCATAGGGACCCCACAGCCCCACAGCCCCATAGGGACCCCACAGCCCCACAGCCCCATAGGGACCCCACAGCCCCATAGGGACCCCCCATCCCCACCCCCCCCCATGGGGTCTGACCAAGCCCCGCCCCCCGGCAGGGTAAGCCCCGCCCCCAGGTCACGTGGACGAAGGAGGGCGGGCCCCTGGGCGAGGACGTGCACGTGCGCACGTCGGACCGCGACACGGTGTTCTTCATCCGCGCCGCCGCCAGGGGGCACTCGGGGCGCTACGGGCTCAGCGTGCGCATCGAGGGCATGGAGGACACGGCCGAGATGCGCCTGCGCGTCGTCGGTAACTGGGAGCACTGGGAGGGACTGGGAGGGACTGGGAGTGATGGGAAACATGGGAATGGTGTGAGGGGAACAGGGATGGGCACTGGGGTTGGGGACTGGGAGCACTGGGAGCACTGGGATGGACTGGGAATGCCAGGCTCTGTTGGCATCGAGGGCATGGAGGACACGGCCGAGATGCGCCTGCGCGTCGTCGGTAACTGGGAGCACTGGGAGGGATGGGAAGCATGGGAATGGTGTGAGGGGAACAGGGCTGGGCACTGGGATTGGGGACTGGGAGCACTGGGATGGACTGGGAGGGACTGGGAGTGATGGGACGGCAACTGGGGGAACTGGGTCTGGGCATTGGGATTGGGAACTGGGAGCACTGGGAGAGACTGGGAGGGACTGGGAGACATGGGAATGGTGTGAAGGGAACAGGGCTGGGCACTGGGGTTGGGGACTGGGAGCACTGGGAGTGGTGGGACGGACTGGGAGTGATGGGACGGCAACTGGGGGAACTGGTTCTGGGCATTGGGGTTGGGAACTGGGAGCACTGGGATTGGGAACTGGGAGCACTGGGAGTGATGGGACGGCAACTGGATGAACTGGGTGAACTGGGACTGGGCATTGGGATTGGGAACTGGGAGCACTGGGATGGACTGGGAGGACTGGGAGTGATGGGATGGCAACTGGATGAACTGGGTGAACTGGGACTGGGCATTGGGATTGGGAACTGGGAGCACTGGGATGGACTGGGAGTGATGGGAGTCATGGGAAACATGGGAATGGTGTGAGGGGAACAGGGCTGGGCACTGGAATTGGGAACTGGGAGCACTGGGAGCACTGGGAATGCCAGCCTCTGTTGGCATCGAGGGCATGGAGGACACGGCCGAGATGCGCCTGCGCGTCGTCGGTAACTGGGAGCACTGGGAGGGACTGGGAGGGATGGGAAACATGGGAATGGTGTGAGGGGAACAGGGCTGGGCACTGGGGTTGGGGACTGGGAGCACTGGGAGGGACTGGGAGGGACTGGGAGACATGGGAATGGTGAGAAGGGAACAGGGCTGGGCACTGGGATTGAGGACTGGGAGCACTGGGAGTGATGGGACGGCAACTGGGGGAACTGGGTGAACTGGGACTGGGCATTGGGATTGGGAACTGGGAGCACTGGGATTGGGAACTGGGAGGGACTGGGAGGGATGGGAAACATGGGAATGGTGTGAGGGGAACAGGGCTGGGCACTGGGATTGGGGACTGGGAGCACTGGGAGGGACTGGGAGCACTGGGATGGACTGGGAGGGACTGGGAGTGATGGGATTGGGAACTGGGGGAACTGGGTCTGGGCATTGGGATTGGGAACTGGGAGCACTGGGACGGACTGGGAGTGACTGGGTGGGATGGGAAACATGGGAATGGTGTGAGGGGAACAGGGCTGGGCACTGGGATTGGGAACTGGGAGCACTGGGAGTGATGGGAGGGACTGGGAGTGATGGGACGGCAACTGGGGGAACTGGTTCTGGGCATTGGGATTGGGAACTGGGAGCACTGGGACGGACTGGGAGGGACTGGGAGGGATGGGAAACATGGGAATGGTGTGAGGGGAACAGGGCTGGGCACTGGGATTGGGAACTGGGAGCACTGGGATGGACTGGGAGGGACTGGGAGTGATGGGAATGGTGAGAAGGGAACAGGGCTGGGCACTGGGATTGGGAACTGGGAGCACTGGGAGTGATGGGAGGACTGGGAGTGATGGGACGGCAACTGGGGGAACAGGGCTGGGCATTGGGATTGGGAACTGGGAGCACTGGGACGGACTGGGAGCACTGGGAGAGACTGGGAGTGATGGGAGACATGGGAAACATGGGAATGGTGTGAAGGGAACTGGGCTGGGCACTGGAATTGGGAACTGGGAGCACTGGGACGGACTGGGAGTGACTGGGTGGGATGGGAAACATGGGAATGGTGTGAAGGGAACAGGGCTGGGCACTGGGATTGGGAACTGGGAGCACTGGGATTGGGAACTGGGAGCACTGGGAGCACTGGGAATGCCAGGCTCTGTTGGCATCGAGGGCATGGAGGACACGGCCGAGATGCGCCTGCGCGTCGTTGGTAACTGGGAGCACTGGGAGGGACTGGGAGGACTGGGATGGACTGGGAGCACTGGGACGGACTGGGAGCACTGGGAGGGACTGGGAGCACTGGGAGGGACTGGGAGCACTGGGACGGACTGGGAGCACTGGGATGGACTGGGAGCACTGGGACGGACTGGGAGCACTGGGATGGACTGGGAGCACTGGGAGGGACTGGGAGCACTGGGATGGTTTTTTGGCTGTTTTTTTTTGAGGATTTTGGGGGATTTTGGGGTGGTGTTTTTTTGGTTTTTGGTTTTTCTGGGGTGTTTTTTGGGATATTTTGGGGTTTCTTTGGGTGTTTTTGGGGTGTTTTTTGTGGGTTTTGGGGGTGTTTTTTGGGTATATTTTTGGAGTGTTTTTGGGTATATTTTTTAACTGTTTTTGGGTATATTTTTGGGGCGGTTTTGGGGTGATTTTTTGGTTTTTTCTGGGTTGTTTTTTGGGATATTTTGGGGTTTCTTTGG